AAAAAAATAAGGTAATTTACTTTTTAAATCTTTGCTTGATATAATGATTATTTTTTTCAATTACTCCGCAATTATGGTTCGGTCAAAAACAGCAAAAATTTGGGGGGCAATATTACTACAATGTATAACCCCCGGTAATTTAAGGGAATTCATTAGATAAAAATACTGTCGCCCGATTTTTGCATTGTAATAAAATTTCCTACCTGAAATTACCAGAATAATTCCTAATCACGAGCAAAAAGCGAGTAATTTTTTTTATCCTTCTTTGCCTCATTTTTTGCTCTTTTTTTGCTATGCAATATTTAGGTAATATTTATTTAGTTGCTAAATACTGTCGAGCCGGTTTCTTAGGCTTGATATAGCAAACCAATATATTACCCAAAGAATCAACCAATGAGCCAAAGGCAAAAAGTAAACTAGTGCCTTGACTTTCTCGGAGAAATCACGGCGAAAAAGCCAAAAAGCCTAGCAAAGTCAAAGAGGTTTGTGGTAGCCAGGTTTCCCACAAATATTTACGCAAACTCTTTTTGGTTGACATTTCGCGGCGACAAGCCAAGTTTTCTACTAGACCAAAAAGCGAGCGGAGCAAAATAAACCCGATAACTTCTCAAATATTAATCTGCCGAAGAAAAGCGGGGTGTAGGCGGTCAAAAGCATAAGGATGAGCAAATAATACTCGCAACGCCAGGTAAATATAAATTATCACATTAATTATTTGCTCGATTAACGAAAAGGGCTTTTTCCGGATGACAGATTCTAGTTGTTGATTATCGGAAATTTGCTGTTCTTGAGGATAAAGAACCAACAGCAAAATTAACTTAATCACTGCAAATTTAAAAAGCATTTCTGCCCACAGATGATTTTTTAAGTTTTGGCTGGCTCAGTTCAAAGGTCGCAACAAAAAAAAATGTGTCGGGTCACTTCTCATGACTTCTCACCATCGACGACTATCTAATTCGGCCATTGCAGCCCGACCCCTTAAGTGCTTAATATTAGTAATAATACTATCGCGAAGATTTTTTAAATCGCGCTGGTATTTATCCTGTTTTCTAGTTAACTCATCTTTTTCGTAAACTGACTGCTTACTTCGGCTTGCCAAGCGGATAATGTCTTTTTGTAATTGGTCTAATTCCTGTAATTTT